TTCATAGTGAACATTACTACATCACTCTCGTCAACTTAGTCCATATCAAAATATATCTTGACTCCATATAGTGGTTATTTTGGGAAAATCCCAGGTATTTTGAGCAGTAGGATTATAAAAAAGATGTGCTGATATAAAATTAAATTAAGTAGCCTATATAAAATGGCTAAATAAATCTATCTATCAGTACTTTTTTACTTAAGTACATAAAAAATCGAGTACTTTTGTACTTTCACTCGAGTAAAATTGAAAAAGGAGTACTTTTACTTTTACTGGAGTAATATTTTATTATATGTATCTGTACTTTTACTCAAGTACTAGATTTGTGTACTTCGTCCACCACTGATGATTATTATGCCCACGTGGAAATCTTTATGGGGTAGCTGAGAGTATCATCAAAAATTAGCTATAAAATGTAATAATCAAACATGTATCGGATGGATATGTGTAGATATTTTTGAATGAGAGTTAGAATTCTGTGGAAATCTGTGTAGCTCTCTGTGGGATTGTGCAGGTTAAGATTATGTACAAGTCTAATGATAATTGATTCATCTGTAGATGTTTTTTTTTTTTCAATTAATTTGAACTTTTTGCTCATCAAAGAATCCTGAAAAAATTAAGCAAAGTTCTCATAAAAATATTAAGCAGCACAACTTTCTTGAGTACCAAGTCAGCATATTAGAATTATTTCTGAAGGGTCATGACTCATGTGACACTGAAGACGAGTAATGGCTGCTGAAAATTCAGCTTTGCCATCACAGGAATATTAAAAGTCTAAAATACATTAAACTAGAAAATGGTTATTGTGAATTATAATCATCTTTCACAATATTTGTTTTTTTCCTTTGTATTTATAAAAAAAAAAAACATTAATACATTTAGCCCAGTGTCCTTCTTTAGACAAATGTGGACATGTAAGGCTATAAAAATATATGTGAATAGATGACTATGCTATAAATTGAATGGAACACTAACAACACCTGTTTTATTAAATAGAGTAATTTTAGTCAAATTATTGCAGTTTTTGTTGCAATATTATTATTTCAGTTTTTTGATGCACACAATAGCATATTTCACTCTGACCTGGAGGCTGCTATATTTGCGTCATGGACATTCCTTTCCAGTTCCTGCTAATATTTCCACATAGTGACGTAGATATGTGGGGGCGTGTTAGAACTTTTATAAAGAATATCTCTTTGGATTTGAGACTTTAGTCTTTGCAACTTTACAGATCTTCTTTATGCACCAAGAGCTTGTAACACTCCAAAGAGAAATGAAAACTTGAAATCGCATCATATGACCCCTTTAAGATCCTTTGGAAAAGTAATAAATGAAATCATAATAAAAAAACACAATACCAGGTGGGGCATTTGTAGATTAGAAATTAGTATCGTCTCCATTTGTCAGACTGTGTCCTTAATCTTTACTGATTAGTTGTTGCAGGCCAAGTACATTTTATGTTTGTGTTCTGTTACATCTTCAGCATTTCATAAGCTGATTTCATGATCTTCATTGAATATTAGACTTACCCAGAAAAATACTCTTTCTACACAGAACTTTCAGCCCTCATGGGAGCCACTTATGAATATTTTTGAGGTTAAAAATTTGTAGGCCCCCGTAGGCCTGTTTATTTCTTTTTCAAAACTTGTGCCATTTTGGCATCGGCAGTAATGTCAAATGTGTATCCATCTTCTGTTTCAATCTAGATGACATGGCGTCCTCAGTACCGTAGTTCCAAGTATCGCCATGTGTTTGGGAAGCCGGCCACAAAAGAGAACTGCTATGATGGTGTCCCCATCACCCGGAGTGTTCATGACAATCACCTCTGCACCGTCAACCCTCGCTTTATCGCCGTCATCACTGAATGTGCAGGGGGTGGGGCCTTCCTGGTACTGTCCATCAATCACGTGAGTGAAACGCGTTCATATCTGTGACTAGCACTGATAATATATGGACTTTAAATGCTTTTAATACCCTCCTGTTGTGTTTGCATTATTTAGACCCACGTTCAATTTTCAGACTGATTGAAACACTGGTTAACTATTTATTTCTTCTTGAAATTCTTTGAATATTTCTCATTTAGGGTCATGAATGTGCATGGGTCAAAGACGAAAAAGGGTTTTTAAGCATCAAAACAATAAGTGTAATACTGCTTTGAATTGTTATTGTTGTTTTTCAGTACATTAGAAAGTGTCCAGTTCAATTAATTTGTTTTTTTCTGCGCAAAAAATAAATATCATACATTTTTACCATGATTTACAGAAAACTGACACTAAAATGTCATTCAGTGTAACAATCTTGTCAGGCATATTTACCACAAGAATCAGTTTATGACATTTTAAAAGACTCATTAGTATTTCCCCAAATACTAACTATACTATTCCATTTTGGCCATTTGTCAGCAATAATTTTTTACTAATTTAAAATGCAATACAATTTAGTATGCTCACTTATTCTTTTATATATTTTAATATGTACAGGTCAGAATAAGTATGTTGTTTAAATTTTTACATAAATATAAGTGTTGTTACACTGAATGACACTGAATGAAAATGTACACCGATCCCACATTTTGACATTTTATTCTCCCAAAACATATTTGAAACCTTAAAAGTAGACACTTTACTTGCATTTAATGTGCTTTCTATGTATAATAAAATCACTTTTGTACAATTTATTTTGATGCAGATATTTAAATGTCTTTGACCCACTTGCAAAGTTTCGACATACACTACCATTTTTGTTACTTTTGTGTTGGGGTCAAATTGTCAAATCATCCTTTTTTTTCCCACAAATTTTATATTTTTCATTCTCTGACAAGCTACAATAGAGGTTTTCTTGTTTTAGGTAAGTCATTACTGTTTTCACAGTGTACATTTTTGGTAAATTGGATGGAAACAAATGTAGGTCTATTTGACCCGTGACTCAAAAGTTGTACCCAGTTTTTTAACATAATAGGGAGGTTAAAGGACAACCTGGTGAGTTACATAAGTTACAGTATCTTATGCATCACTTTTCTTTAGGGCAAATGAAGACCTTTTTATCTGCATATTTATGAGTTTCTATTATTTTACAGCCTAACATACAAAAATAGCTTCTCACATTTTTTCTTTCTGTCACACACACCCTTCTACACGCTTACCTGTTCTGACACACTTTAGCTCTCTGTGTGATTTTATTGGTCTGTTGACTGTCTCATGTTCAGTCAGATATTACCTCATGTCTCAAGAATGGCACAGGTTACATGAAAGCCTTGGGGCATCTTTCTGTATTGTCTGTCTCTTCTCCTTTCCCCCAACATTAAATGTTGTCTAAAAAAAAGTGGTGTTATATTATTGTTAACTTAAGTGTACAATTAAATGTGCTTTTGTAGCAAACAACATATAAAATAAGTGGTCTGACCACACAATACAAGTTAATACATGTTTCAACATTTTAACATTTTAGTGCCTTTACCCAGAACCAATGCCCACAGTTGCCAGTTTAGATATGAAAAATGATAAAGTCAAGTTTCGTCACCTGTTAACTGAGTCATTTGTGTTACGTAATTGTTTTTTGGCTACTGAAGGATGTTCTCCTTGTTGAGACTTGTGTCTTTTGCAAACACATTTCTATGCTATGATTCTTGGTCAAACTTGCAATGACTTAGATCTAGTTTTTTTTGTGCTACACTACAAACAGTCTAATCTGTATCTTGTTTTTTTAGTAAAATATCTAAATAACTGTATAAAAAGTAAATTGAGAAGCATTTTGGCTCGTTTTCGTTTTCTGAATGTTGAATGTATAATTGAATATAAGTGTTCTCAACAATGTTGTCACTTGTTTTAATACAAATTTAGTGAGATTTATAATTAAAACACAAATACTGAAAACAGCTGAATGTTTTATATATACTATATACTTTAGTGTCACATGATCCTTCAGAAATCATTCTAATATGTTGATTCAGTGCTTAAGGAACATTTCTTATTATTAATGTTGCTGAACTGCTTATATCATTGTGGATTCTTTGATAAATATAAAGTTCAAAAGAACAGCTTTTATATGAAATAGAAGTCTTGTGTAACATTATAAAATTGTCTTTTCCATCACGCTTGTTCAATTTAATGTGTCTTTCTGTTTTCTTACTGTCCCCTAATTTTTTTAACTGTACATTTTCTAAATCAAGTTTTTATTGCAAACTTTTTTTTGAACACTGAAAATAATATTAACCTAAATAATTAACTGGTTTTATTTAAGTCAAATATACGATTTAAGATTAATATTCAACTTAAATACATTAAGTTATAACATTTAAGATAATCGCTGGTTACAGCTTTTAACTCTGTAGATAATTTTATCAGCACAGACTAACTAGGCCATGCTAAATATACTTCAAACCTTGACCCCATGGTTGTCTTCTCTATATTTACACAAATATTGGTGTGTAATTATCTGTGTGTCTTCTTAGACTGGCAAGGTTGACCCTCATCATCCGAAGGTTTCTGGTCACAGAGGCAATGTACTTGACATCAAATGGAATCCTTTTAATGACTTCTGCATAGCATCTTGTTCAGAGGACACCACAGTAAGTGTGGACATATAGTGTGTGCATACACTCAACACCACAAATTCAGACTGGTGCATGTTCACATTTTACTGACTAAAATGGATCTGATTATCTCATATCGTATCATATCCCACTTTCTACCTTCAGGTCAGTAGCTGATTTCAGACAGAAGTTCTTGATACATTTTAACATTGTGTTCACATACAGTTTATCATTTGTGCCCATGTTTGTTGTTCAGGTAAAGATCTGGGATATCCCTGAACATGGTGTTTTGAAGAACATCACAGTGTCTCAGAAGGAGCTGCAGGGTCATTCACGACGTGTCGGACTTATTGAATGGCATCCCACTGCTGACAACATCATTTTCAGTACTGGCTATGACTATCAGGTACTTAAACTACACACATACTTTCTCATGGAATGAAGACAGACAGGATTTCTGAGAATTGACCCCCAGGTAGACATTTAAAATATTCACAGGGATAATAAGCTTAGTACACATCACTGTTTAATAATCCTAAACTTCCTTTCCAGTGGCCAGAGTCGAAATAGTTGTATTGTTTCAGTGTGTGAGCGAAACAAATAAAATACTTAAATAATCTTTAAGGATAATGGTTTAGTTATTACTTAAATGTATTTTAAAAAGAAAGAATAAAAGTTTATTTATGCTTTATTCTCTGCTCTCCAGCAGAGGATAAAGCATAAATAAAAAAAACATAAACCGAACAAAAACAGGGAAAATACCACTATATTCGTGGGTAAAAGTCGCAACTCTAGTACCACATATTAGGAATATCAGGGTTTAATAGTCTTTAAATACCATTAGGAGTTCATATTTAATGTTACAATTGTAAACCAGCAGCTGAGTTTTGGTATATTTAATTTATAACTTGAAAGAGACCCAAAAATCTGCAGTGACCTTATTAATATTGGAAGAGAGGCTGAGGGATCTCTTAAATAAGTGATTATACAGCAATTAGTTAGACAAGCAGTGTTCCAAAAACACTATATAGAGACATTTTATTATGACACTTTTATTGAAAGTATATTTTTCTGAAAGTATTTTTTCTTTAAGCTTCCATTTATCTTAAGTTTGGTTTGTGGCTTATTTTATTAAACATGTAATTACAAACTTTACAAGAACTTTACAAAGCCTAAACTCAGTATCTAAATTTAATATAGCTGTATCTGCAGTGAATGTGCCTCATAGTATGTAGTGTTCAACATTACATCCTGAGTCAGTTTTTCTATACTGAAACTTGTTTGGTCAAGAGAAATAAAATAGGGCAACACCGACTTTTTTAATCTAGCTATAATAGATGCTTATTTTTATATTAAACACTAAGCTCTAATATTACCCTTTATGTACTATATTTGTTGTCTTTTTTACAGCCCTATGAGCATTTACTTTTATTTCAGATCTGTAGTAATTGTATAACGATATAATATGATCAGAATAATTAAATAGTTGTTGTCCCTGGGTGTAGATTTTAATTTTATTGATTCCTTTTTTATCAAGAAACAGATAAGCTAACTGTTTAGGTTCATCTAAAGTTAAATTAGATTTAAAGTGGTCATATAATGCTACATGCACTTTTACAAGTTGTTTGAACTGAAATGTGTGTTGGCAGTGTGTGTACACAACCACCCTAAAATGATAAAAATCCACCCAGTGGTTTTTTGTTAATCTACTAAAATATTTACCCCTTTCTCAAATCGAGCCGATCTCAGATGCCTGTCTGTGTGACGTCACACAAACAGGCCCCTCCCACGATAGTTTGATTGACAGTAGCGTTTCAGCACAGACTGGACTGGTGTCTTACCTTAGACCCGCCCTGAGTGAGCTGTCATCAGTCCGCCATTGTTTCACCGCTGGAGCAGTTGTAGACAAGAATGACTCCTAAGCGATTGAGGTCTTCTGTTGTTGGATGTAATAATGAACATAGCAGTCGTCATTTACTCCCGACATCTGAGCCGCTGAAGACGCAGTGGATTATGTTTGTTTTTGAAGGGAACGCGCCCTGATCTACATAAATGCGTCTATGTTCGCGCAAATCATTCATGA